TAAGCTGCTTGGCTACCACAGCTGAACATTCTGATCAGAGTCTAAAGGAAAATTCTGATCAAAAGGGGGGAAATGCAGAGCAGAATGTTAAATGCTTATGAATTCTAGACTTTCTGGAGCCATGCTGGCTGGCTGAAGCCCAGAAACTACTGCCTAGAGAGAATTTAAACCTTAAATCAAAAATATTTCCCGTTTCCCCTTCAAACCAAATAACAGATTAGCCTAACTAGTAAACAATGGCTGCCTTGAGCTCTGGGTTCTTTTGAGATCTGTGTGTGATCAAATGAAAAATAGCAATTCAACAGATCAGCTAGAGAAAACTTGGGGCGGGGGGCAGCGATTTCATGTTAATGGAGGAGGAACAACGGAGACAACAAGGGTGAGAATGGTCACACAGCTCGGGAAACAGCATCAATGTCACAAAACTGTACACGGAGGAATTGCAGAACTGGTGTATGTTTGGCTGTGTGTAAGCTCAACAATAATAACAAAGAAATGGATTTTAAAAGTCCCGTGGGTTACAATAGAGTACTGTCCTGCACACAGGGTGATCAATGATAAATCCTCTGGGTTGGGAGGCATTTAAAACACAGAGTGGCCTGAGCATCCCGACAATCATGAAGGTGGAACAAGACCAGGCGCTGCTGCTCTGATCAGTGGTGCACGGAGTGACCAGAAGGGGAGCCGATGCAAAAGCAACTAAAACCACCAATTACCACGGCTACCAGAGTGAAAACGATTTAGTAACATGTGACCAGGGCCAACATTTTTTTTTAACCCTTTCTAAAAAGTTTCTTGTCGTCTTACTACTGGGCCAAGAGGCAACATCATGATAGATGGAGAAGAGCTAGAAATTGATTTTTCTATCACTATTTCATCTTACTGGGATCCACAATCAATATCCTTGGCACCAGCAGCCAGCAAATCAAGAGACATACAGCCTCGGGAAAGTCTGTAGTAAGGGATCTCTCCAAAGTGCTGAAGGGGTGTGTCTGATTCAAGCCATGATCCTTTCGATCACTTGTTCTGGTTATGCCGCTGAAGGCTGATCAATGAATAAGGAGGACAGAAGAGCAATCGATGCATCTGAGGCTTGGTGTTGGAGAAGAGGGCTGACTATCTCACGGGCTGCCAAAAGGACACACCTGCAGATCTTGAAGGAAGTGCAGCCAGAAACGCTCCTTAGAGGCAAAGACAGTGAGACTTCGACTTCGTGCCTGCTGTTAGTCCTTGGAAAAGAGCATCATGCTAGGAAAGGTGGAGGGTGAGCAAACGAGGAGAAGACCTTCATCGACATAGACTGACAGTGTGACTGTAACGGCGTGTCCGAGATGAGGAGATGGCTCAGGACAGGACAGGGTTCAGATCTGTTCTTTACAGGGTTGCTATGAATCAGAGTCCGCCTCACAGCATGTTAACAGCATCAACAACACGTGGTTTCTGCATACCTCTCGGGACCATTGTTATTGAAATTAACTCAGTGAATTGGCTGGTTAGTGTGGGTCTTCAATCCTGTCTAGTAGGTTACTCCTACTAAAAGTTGAGAAAACTGAAATTGAAGTAAGACATCTGTCCCATGTCACACAGCTCAGTGGCTGAAAGGATTCAAACCCAGAAATGTCTGGTACTAAAAACAGCAAAGCCGATTCTGTTCTTACAGATAAAAATAAAGCAAACTGATATCACAGCCATTCTTTCTCTGTGGAACTTCGCACAGTGCTGGCTGTGAGTTTTGCAAAGGAGACACTTACCCGGGGGTGAAGAAATGAATGGCCACAAGTTCTGCCCAGCAAGCGTATCTGTTGGGGACGGGAAAGCCCAGGATGCTGATGACACCGCCAGGACAATAGTGGTTGTTAAGAACTTTCAAAGCAAACAAAACTCCTAAAAGAGAATAAAGGACATAAAATTATCAACAAGGTGAACATGAAACAGAACCAAGAAATCACCATCCGCAAAGGAAATGAATTAAACTGGATCATTCACTGCAGCTATCTTTTCTTCTGAAACTTATTCTACTCCTTTCAACACGTTGCCCATTTGACTTAAACAAACAAACAAAAAACAACAAAACACGTTCAGGGTTAATCATTTGTTAGCAAAGAAGTTCATTAGTTTGGATTCATGGTAACCCTCCAATAAGTTACAAAGACTATAAATTTTTACAGAGGAGACTACCCACCTCTTACCCTCAGAAGAGCTGGTAGATTAGAACCTTCCAGTTAGGAGCCCAAAACAGAACGCACTAAGCCACCCAGGCCCCTTACTAGAGGCTATACAGCACACAGAACGAGGACAAAACAGCATCAGCGTGTTCTTTTCAAGGATGAACAGACCCAAGAAAGGAAGGGCATATTGTCTAAGTTCTCCTTAGATCAGATGGACCAGCATGCAGCTTGGTGGACACAAGAGAGAAGGGCAGAAAAAGCAGAGGAGGAAGATTAGAGTTCCTTCTGCTATAGAACTATTTCCTCTTCCTCTTCACATTCTACTTTTTAGCACATATCCTTTAAATCCTGATGACAGTTTCAGTCCTGTCAACACTCTTGGTACCAGCAGCCAGGAAATCAATAGATGAATTGCATTGGGAAAGTCAGCTATCAGGGACCTCTCCAGAGTACTGAAGAGCAATGACGTCAGGCTGGAGACTAAGGTGTGCCTGATTCGGACTATAATCTTCACAATTGCATAATACGCATTGGAAAGCTGGATAGTGACTAGGGAAGATAGAGAACTGATGCCTTTGAGCTGTGGTGCTGTAGAAGAGTGTTGAATATACCATGGACTGCTAGGAGAACAAACGGGTGTATCCTGGAGAGGGTAAAGCTGGTCTTCTCCTCGGAGGCAAGGATTCTGAAGCCTCATTTGACATACTTTGGGCATGTTGCAAGGAGGGACTGGTCCTTGGAGAGGGACATCATGTTTGGGAGAGTGGAGGGATAGCGCAGGAGAGAAAGACCCTCGATGAGATGGATTGATTCAGTGATTGGTGTGGTGGGAGTTTGTGCACTGGAGACAGTGAGGTTGGCACAGGATAGAGCAGGATTTGCGGCTCTTGTACATAGAGTCACTAGGAGTCACAAGTGACTCGATGGCACATAATGACAACAGCAACAAAAATATATCTTAAAAATAACTGTTATTGCTAGGGACATCTGGCTGGTTCTAACTTCTGTCCCTTTGTGGAGCTGACAAAGGTCAGATATGGCCATCCCCATCAGCCCCTTCCTCTTTTGAAAGAGGGCAAAGCTAAGAGGCCATCAAGTGTGTGGTTAAAGTTACATAAACCCAACCAGAGCCAAGCCCACTACTACGGAATCCAGTTCCACTTATGATGGCTCTCCATCAGATTTCCAATGCTGTGAATCTTAACGAAGGAAACTTCCTGGCTTTCTCCTGTAGAGCTGCTGTTGGGTTCGTACCGTCAACCTTTCTGGTAAGCAGTTCAACACTTAACTGAGTAAGCCATGACCGCTCCTTAAGGTCATTCATATAGAACGGACTCAAATCCTAGCTCTGCAGCTTGCAAGCCATGGGATGGTGAACAAGTGTCCCATCTCTCCAGGTCTTAGCTTCCTCATCTACAAAATGAAGGTGGTACCAACTCAGTGGATATGCCTCCGTGAACGACACAGGATTTACGCAGTGACAATGACAACCTGAGTGTGCACACGTGGCAGTGTGGGGGTGGAGCACACGCTTTAGTGATGTGACTCCGAGGTACCCCGCTCCTTTGCAAGAACTCGCTATCGCAATACACCCAGAGAGCTCTCTCTGAACCCAGCGTGCTTGGGTGAGAGCATGTTTCCAGGATGCCAACCCTACAAACCACCTTCAAGCGGACTCTGGTCCAGACTTCCCAGGTGCACAAGGCACAGCGTGGTGTGGGCTTCTTCTCCAAGGCCAGCCCAGCAGCTCCTGACCTCTCCACGCCTTTGCCCACCTGGGCCTCTCACGACCTACAGTGACAGTGGACACGGCTCCCAGGCCTTACCCGAGAAGCCGACGGCGCAGTTCCTCCGCAAGTTGGGTTCGTCCATGAACGCCGCGAGAGCGAGCTCCAGCAGCAGGTAGACCACGCCCGTGAGCAGGGAGAAGGTGGCGATGACGTAGGCGAACCACTTACTGCCCAGCCTCTGCTCCAGGTGGATGCCCTTCCACAGCATGGATACCATGTTGAAGTAGAGGTGCCAGTCGTCGACATGGTGGAAGGGGGAGAGGAGCAGGCGCTGCCAGTCCTGCTGCTGGTAGCACTTCTCCACGCTGATGCAGGAGTCGTGCAGGGGCTTCACGGGGCTCAGGAAGAGCCAGGTGTTAAGAGCCAGAGTTGCCAGGGTGACGGGGGGAATGTTGTTGACCCCCACGTGGAAGATTTGAGACAGGAGCAGAAGCAGCCCCGTGTTGATCCCTCTCGATCTCCGCTGCATGGCTGAATAGAAGTGGGGGGCGCAGCCCTGGGAACACAGAATCCGGTCACGTCTCGGGGATCTGGAGAGCGATGCAGACAGCTGGCCCGCAAACAGAAAATGAAATGCATGTCAGAATCCGTGAAGTGTGGATTAGAACGCCAGTAAGACATAGTCCCTGAAAGGCAAGCGTACATTATATCTATCCTATTTCTCATCCTAATAGACATATTTCTTTTCATTACCTTCCAGAGAAGCTATGTAGGATACCCTTCCTTCATTTACCATCCTGAAACCTTTTTATCTTCTACCTCAACGGACTGTGGAACAGACCAGCATGCTTTCCCTCTGGCAGATATGTCATGAAAACACAACCTGTCTTCCTTGTAAATAAACGTCTAACCCAATAAAAACGCTAAAAAAAGATAATGTCTCAGTATTTAATAACAGTCCCTACTCAGAATGCCATGGGAAAGTCCGCTGTTAGGGATCTCTCCAAAGTACTAAAGTACTGAAGAGCAATGGTGTCTCTCTGGAGACTAAGGTGCATCTGATACAGGCCATGGTCTTCGCAATCACTTGTTATGCATCAGAGAGTTGGACAATGACCAAGGAGGATAGAAGGAGAATTGATGCCTTTGAGCTGTGGTGCTGGAGAAGAGTATTGAGAATACCATGGACTGCTAGGAAAACAAACAGATTTGTCCTGGAGAGGGTTAAACCGGGTGGCTCCTTGGAGGCAAGGATTCTGAGGCTCCGTCTAACATACTTTGGACATGCTGTGAGGAGAGATAGGTCCTTGGAGAAGGACATCATGCTTGGGAGGGTGGAGGGACAGCGCAGGAGGGGAAGGCCCTCTATGAGGTGGATTGATTCAGTGACTGGGATAATCGGGATGGGAGTGTCAGAGACAGTGCGATTGGCACAAGACAGAGCGGAGTTTAGGGCTGTTGTACATAGGGTCGCTATGAGTCGCAAGTGACTCGACGGCACATAACAACAACAACAACACTCAGAATGCAAGTCATAATTTTTTTATCCTCACCATTTCTTAAGACAAATATTCTGTTTTAATGCATTAGAGTTTGTGCCAAAGTTTTTCAATGCCAACAAGCAAGCTTAAAAATGCAAGTGCATATTCTAACGCTCTAGTCCAATGTCCATATTATCAGAAAACAACTGCACAAATGCTTTATTTTTACAAAACTCTGGCTTTTAGAAGTTATCAATTGTCAAATTTGTCAAATTCTGGATTGACAAACAGTCCCTGTTTTTAAGAAAACTTTCCACCGAGATGTAAACCAACCGGCTCCCGGTGTTCTAAGCGTGGGAATGAGGCCAGGCAGAAGACTTCTCTCACTCAGCCTGAGACGGGGATGGGAGTGCAATCTTAGCAGACATGCTAGAGTTACCAGCGACAGAGAAGAGTGCCCAAGCTTCTTCCTCAGCCCCTGAAGCTAGCCTTGTGACGAGATGGCAAGATGGGAAGGCAAGGGCATTATGTGATTCCCAGGCCTGTGAGGCTTCATGATGCTTTGAAATTGACTCCTTCCCAAGTAGCCATGTGGGCAAGTCCAGGCGAGTCAGCTGGGTGATGAAAGACATATGCCCCAGTCACCTGGGTGGCCCTGGCCACTAGCCCAGCCAATATCCCCAAAGCAAAGCTGTCTAGCCGACTTGGCAGCTGACCACAGATGCATGAGTGAGCCCAGCTGAATGTAACCAATTCCTGGACCCACGGAACAGCGAACTAATGAAGTGGTGGCTGGTTTGTTCACCAACCAGTGGAGGCTTGTTACACAATAACTGCTGGTCTAGAAGGTATTTGCTTTGAGGAAGGGACCAGTTTATGCTCAAAGAATGAAGCTGGTAGTGAAGAGAGAGCAAGAAACAAGAGATATAAAATTAAAAAAAGATATTTAAAAAGAATATCCAAGCCACGGCGGAAAATGCCTTTTCCATCATGTTTGGAAGAAGGATGCAAACGTGAAATATGGGTAAATGAGGAGATGAAGGGATGGGGTGTTGGAAAAATTCTCATTCAGTGATTTGCTTGCTCTGTAGAGTTTACTTGGGCCCCAATCAATGCGCTTCCTTATTTCTGCACCCCAATAATTCTAACTTGAGCAGCACACTACAGGTGCAAGGGCTCAGAAGTTAAACAGGAAAGGATTCTTTGCCCTATCTTGGGCAAATTGTTAAGTTCTCTGAACCTCCACTTCTTCATTTTCAAGTTAGGAAGGATTATATCTCCTTGCCAACTTTGCTGTAACATATTTACATGGGAAAAGCAGGTATTGAATACATGGTTTGCTGCTGTTGCTATGTGCCCTAGAGCCGGAATGACTCCTAGGTGGGCCTCTAGTAGATTTTCAGAGGCTGTAAATCTTACGGGAAGAAACTGCCCATTTTTGTCCCTCAGAGAAGCTGGTGGATTTGAACTGCTGCCTTTGGCTGGCCACACAACTCCCCATCCACACTAGGCCACCAGAGCTCTCTAAATAAATGGTAGATACTTTGGGTACTATAAGGAGAAATGAAGCATCAGGATTGGAGGTAGACTTATCAACAATCTGTGTTCTGCAGATGACACAACCCTGCTTGCTGAAAATGAGGAGGACCTGAAGCGCTTGTTGCAGAAGGTCAAGGACTGAAGCCTTCAAAATGGATGGAAGTCCAACATCAAGAAGACAAAGATTCTCACCACTAGGATGGTTGGCAGCATCATGATGGATGGTGAAGAGATTGAGATTGTTGACACCTTCAGTTTGCTTGGCTCTACAATCAACACTTGGTATCAGCAGCCAGGAAATTAAAAAA